CCGCCCCACAAAAAAGGGAGCGAGGAGACTAGACCATTATACGTGCTACTCTCTCAAAATAAAGAGTTTACTATTATTATTGATGCAACAATCCAAATTGGATAGCATAAGGTTAACTAAGAATGTATATTTTCTGTACAACAGGACTTATAATGCATTTTAGTTTGCACTTAGCCATCATCCAGTGATTTTATCCATCCAAGATTTCAGCTCTAATTGTAAAAACGGTGTATTTGACAATATGATATCATATGGGTATACGCTTTTTCGCGAAGATTGATTGGAATGAAATAGCGAGATCGCGCTGCATCAAGGGAAGTTAAGCCTGCACTTCCCATGAGTCCCTTCGCACTTAGACAAACAAACCGAGTAACGACTTTACAGACGTTTCGCTTAAATTACCTACCTCAGGACGCCCAACCCCTGCAAATAATCCTAAAACAGACACTCAGTTTACATTGTAATTAATTGTCATTTTATTCATATTGACTCAATTATATTATCAGATTTCAYGGCTGATTATATTCACATAATATCAGTGTCTAACACGGCGGTTTGTGATCAGGTGACTTGCATTAAGACATCATGTGACCATATATAATARAGGGGGATATATRATAATGGAYGGCGACAAACTTTGCAGGTCTAATGTGGGACAGAACCTACAAATTTCAAAGCACATAAATTATTGTCAGGGAACTGTGTGCACATGCGTAGTATAAGCTACCAGATTTTAGAGGTTTTAGGGTCAAGCTATTTCTTAATACAAGTCATCCGCCCATTTGAAAGCCAATAACGGTTTCCAGGGTGCAGTACATATGGAAAAWTGAGTCACTGCCCGGTTTAGCATGATTGTTTCATCCTACACATTGTCAAGTAACTACGGCAGTAAACCGGGCAGTGGCTGTCAACTCCATACAAATAGCCCCTTAAATTTGTTATTTTATATTTACAGATCAGGGTTTACAGACCCCTCCAATGATTCAATTACGTCACTGGCGTGTAGTCTTGCACTGACTACGAAAAAAATAGGCTCATGCTTTTATGTGTTGTTAAAACCCATCTCAATTCACCAGAGGCTGAAAACCGGCATATATTGGATCGCTAAAGTCCATTAAACATTGTTGGTGAGTGACCCACCATGCTTTGCACGGTACTATACAGTCAAATATGTTGGAYGAAGTCCGATGTCCGTCCAACATTCTATCATATCAAACTCGGCCAAACATTTGTGCCGTTTGACCACCTTGTTTGATGTTGATAAATAAAACATGTTGGATAACTTTCAAGTCCGTCCAACATTTTATTATATCAAACGTCATCAAGAATATAAAGTTTGAACGCCATCAAACATTCAATCAAATGTACATTCAACATTTCTWAGAAATTGTTCTCTTTGGACACCCACTCATTAGTTATATAACATGGTGTAAAATCCAATATGGCCAACAATTTGACGCGTTGCCACGGCGTTCACGACTTTAAAGCTTGAACATTTGCCAAACAAAGATGAAACCGTTTTCCAATTAATTAGATTACCAAATGTGGATATAAGTTCWTGGCCGTGCGCATGGCATTTGTTTGATGTACAGCTARTTTAAGAAAAGTGTAACGAAAAGAATAGAGCATGGATATTTTCCCTTCGTCCTAATTTCCTACGAAGTACGAAGGACTAACGTCCGTAGAACTTTCTCAAATATACAGTTCCCAGTACCATCTTGAAAGGTAACCGAGCCTTTGCATCAGAACGAGGCAGTGGTTAAGCCTTCGGTAACAGATACCTTTGACTACTTTGATACAGGTATCTGTCTCTGCAGGCTCAACCCCTGTCTTGCTTCCATGCAAAGGCTGGGTTACTTTTTCAAGATGGCGATGGGACAGTAAAATACGGACAAGAGAGGGTTACTACCTCATGGTGGAATACATATAGGCACCTAGAACTAATATCTACTGCACTGCCCATACAAAGCTATCTATACGCATTCCATCATGAAGTACTAACCCACAARCCACTAGGCCACAATAGACGAGTTTTCTGTCTTGGAAGGATTCTCTATTCATGTTGTATGAACGCGCTATTCTTTTCGGCAAGCTTTTTGGAAATAGCTGTATGGATTCTATACTTCAGTATTTAAGGCATCTGCTAAATGAGACATGTTTGCTCACCCAATACCATCAGATATTGTTCCATTGTCAAGTTCGCTGAGAAACGCCTAAATAACTGGTGATTAGCATTTAATTCCAGATCTAAAATAAGTGAATATSTTTGATTGATTTTAATAGGATTTGATGTAAAAAAAAGTCTATGATTTGAGAACAATGAGAACTGGTGTTGTCAAAAACACGCTTTTCATACGAATGTGAACAAATAAGAAAGGATCCATGCGTGGCTATGAGTACCGATAAATTTTACAAAATATAGACCCCCTACGACTCCTCCCCCCACCCCCGCTCCTCATAAATTAGCCCCTGGCCCCTGTTGCACGTAGCGAACGAACATGGTCAGTAGAGCAAAGGCCAAATACCGGATCGAACAACAATATCTGATGGTTTCAGTGATCAAATTTCTCTTTCGGCCGAGTCTAAATACTTGATAGGTTCAATATATTGTTCGATTATACGAATTGAAAATAACTCTATTGATCTGTCAATCTAATATTAATGAAAATATCAATGCTTAATAATGCTTCATATTTACCCTTCCAGCGGGAAATACTACTAATTCTACTTGCAACTGTTTCACTTTTTTTGTATTTTACATAAATATCAACGCTTCCTGGTGATAGCAATTTTAAGACGCACTCCCGCATATGTGGAGACTCRTCATATTTTTGTAAGTTTACCGCGTTTACCACATGAAAGACGCTTGAGCYCATGTTCCTCATTCATTAAGGGTCATTATTTGCCGAGCGGTGGAATATATGATGTGATAATGTACTTGGGGATGACGTCATCCAAAATGGCGGACTCAATGATATGTGAATCATTAGACTCATTAGACCTTTTTTAAATACAACTTGTATACAGTTCCTTTACAAGCTCCAAAATCAATTCACATCCTAAAAAAATCAACTATTGAAAAGCCTACAAAAGTTTTTTCATCATTTTTTARCACGAAAGTACTCAGTAAAARCCCAAGGAGCATTGGAAAGGACTGTGTTTTAAACATTATAAAATAGGTAGTTTATACCAGAMYCCCTTTTCGGGTATTGTTGAATTCCCTTCAAGTTCTCGTCGAGACTTTTTGGAAACTTTAATAATGCAAGTTTCCGTCGGGAGATGCTCGGATTCCCTTCGAGTCCTCGTCGAGGTTTCTTSGGAATATAATACAAGTTCCTCTCGGGTCATTGTCGGACTTCATTCGAGTCCTCATTGAGGTACTTTTTGGAYTTTATACTATACAAGTTCCCGTCGGGTCATTTTCGGATTCCATTCGAGTCCTCGTCGAGGCATTTTCGGAAATTTTCTTAGGATATAGAATTGTTGAAAGTACTCTACCCTATTATGACTTGATATTGTAAATGCTTCCGTTAGATAATCATGTTCGGAAGTTCTGCCTGAGTTGAGCTCTCTCTTCCCGTCARGTAATAGGTGATAAGTTGACCTTTGCCCTTCACTCGCACGGCACCACGGTAGACGAATGAGAAGCCTTTGTCCTTTAATGATTCGTATGTTTGGTCAGTTACCTGATAATCAAGAACATCTGTTTTAATTTGCGAAGAACAAACCGGGATACCTGTGCTTTTGAATATTTATTTGGTGGAAATTGTGTTTTGATAAATATAAGAACTTATTTTTTTAATCGAAAAATTGCATGACTCCTCCATTAACAGAAGGATGAAAAATGACAGATTTTATCACCACCCCAGTGCTACCCCCCAACAAAAACTTAGTAGTTCATCATTACATGGACGTAGTGATGYCAGAAATGAGATATTGTTAGCCTCCTCCGCAGACATCACAAAGAATCACGGGCTTCCTGTCTTTTGGGGAGTCAAAAGAGGAAGATATTACTATTATTATTATTTCACTATTCTCTAGCGGAAAGAGAAAGATGACCGTCGCAAAAGAAGCCTAAAGGAGGAAAAAGGAGTTGACTGGGGAGAAGGCTAAGATATCTCTTAAAATTGACAGATAGCGATGGATTGTGATTAATGCCTGAATGAGAAGATGTTGAAATTCGAGCAAAAGCTATGAAAAAAGCAAAAAAAAACTATAGCAGATTTCGATGGTGGTGTTTGTTCAAAATTCAATTGTGAAACTATACAACCAACGTACCCCTCCCCGCCCTATATAATAGATACTAATTCTATGCATGCCCTTTTCCATCCCCCCACAGATCCCCCACATGAGTATATTCATATTTTATGTAAGGAACTGCAGTCATTACCTGTATGTAACCAGCCTTKCCCGTGCTCTCCATACGACTAGCTACATTCACCGTGTTTCCCCATATGTCGTAATGAGGTTTCTTGGCTCCTATAACTCCTGCTACCACCGGTCCTTGACAAATACCTGAATTGACATTAAAATGGCCAGAATTATTAGATACATTGCAGTAATGKTTCGAGACTATGACGCGATTTTGCTGCTCTTATTGAACTTCAATTCACTTACCGACTCTTAGGGAAAACTGATTGAAAGCTTGTTGGTTGATTTCTTCTAGTTTATCACGCAGTTGCAGGGCAAAATCCACAATATCAACGAGATTTTGAGATGAGTCTTCGTCCTGTAACATTAACGTGACCAAGGTTAGTTGCGTGACAGTGCGTGACAGTGGTCAGAGCATCCGGGGATTTAATAC